ATCCCTCTGCCATTCTCTCAGTCACCTTAGTGTATCTCTTGATTTCTGTTTCCCTTCCCACTAGCATGGGTCTGATGACTAATTCTTGTGCATCCCACATATCAAAAACTTGCCAGGGACTGTTCCTTCTATTCCACTCTCATCTCAGTACCTGTGCCTATGTGTGCTTGGAGGGGCTTGGAAGAGCACAGCGTTCAGCCACAAAATTGACATTACACTGGAAGATTATGTTAGAGGGAAAGCCCATCAGGAAAATGGACTTCCAGCCTGATGACGGAAGTGCTGATGTTCCTGGCTATGGGCTCCAGGTGTAATGCATCTATCTGATTTGCTGATTTAAAATGATGATGAAAGGGGCACCTGGGTGGCTCAGTCGTTTATGTGTCTGACACTTGGTTTCAGCTCAGGTCATGATCTCAGGGTCATGAGATAGCGTCCCGAGTCAGGCTCCAGGCTAAGCACAGAGTCTGTTTGTCCCTCTCTCTACTCCTCTGCTCCTCCCCTACTTCTCTCAAATAAATAAATACTTAGAAAAATAAAATGATGACCATGACTATAATAATATATCCTTCAGCCCAAAAGGTAGTGATGGGCAAAAGTGAGATACACGAGGACTGAGGCAGATTTTTTTCTTTGGCTTCCTGACATGTTCTCTCTTCCTCACATCTCTCTTTTCCTCGTATCAGACCTAGACCGTTGGCCACAGGGTGGCCTGATGCTGGCTGCGGACGTCAGAGTCTAGTGTCTTGTATAGTGACCCTGGAAGAGAGATATTCTCTTTTTCTTGGGGTGGTTAATTTGAGGCTGCCAATGGCCAGCCTCTCCAGCACACAAGGAAAGTCTCCAGAACAAAGCCCAAGCAGAGATCAGCATAACAGAGACTGGGGAGAGCAGCCCCAGATCTTTCCATCCTGTAAGGTACCACATTATCCTTCCCTGCACATGAGCCAGTGCATTCTTGTTCTGCTTAAACAAGCTTAAGCTGGATTTCTGTTCTTTGGAATCAATACAAAATAAGGTATTTTAAACTTCCACTTTAAACTCTCTCTCTAGCTTAGCTGTTCTTTTGAAAGTTATTTGCATCAAACAATTCAAGTTTGGGATTTGGGAGGGCAAAATTCCCATATCCTGTGCTGTTGATTGAAAGGAGACCTTAAATACTACTGGCTTTGGTGAGAAGTTGTGTTGATAAGTAAAGAACCTGGTGTGGATTCTCACTATAGGGAGAATCTTGAACTGAGCTGGGGTTCCACAGGGCACACTGGATTTACCCTATGTCTCCATCAAGTACCAGATGGGTCCTCCAACAGAGATCTGTGCCACCAAATCTGAGAGAATCTGAGGTCTGCAAATTCTGAAGAAGTTGTTACCATAGCCAGTTATTTTGGTTTGTCATCATCAATAAGGACCTGCCCTTTTTCATATATATAATTTTTTAAAGATTATTTATTTCTTCATGAAAGACACAGAGAAAGGCAGAGACATTGGCAGAGGGAGAAGCAGCCTTCCTGCGGGGAGCCTGTTGTGGGACCGGATCCCAGGACCCCAAGATCATGACCTGAGCCAAAGGCAGACGCTCAACCACTGAGCCACCCAGGTGCCCCAGGACCTGTCTTTTTAACAGTATGGGCGCAACTGGTTACTCTGCATTTTAAACCATGTCCTAGAACAAGAACTGAGCCCATGGTATCATAGCTTGGAGGATATGCTTAAGCTATTCACTATGGCAAGAAGGTATGCATCTACTTTGTCTAAAAACTATACAGTATTATTCAGGAATTATTAACAGGAGGTCTTAGGAACAGCCTTGGGTTATACTTTTGAAAATAGTAATTTACTTGGTTTAAAGGCAACTCCCATTTGCTCTGTTTCTGGTAGAGATACTAGGTTAGAGGCTTTGAGATATGCTGATAGCTCAGAATTGGCATAAGCCCATGGACAATTCCAGTCTATTAAATTAAAAGCCTACTGAGAGATTGATGGGTGCAGCAATCTTGAACTTAATTATTAGGCAGGGGTTTTGCTAAAGCTGGACATTGTAAGGTTATGAAACTCATTTCAAAGGATGTATAGGCCAACACAATTCTGGGAAACCAAAGCTTATTCACCCCGTTGCTCAAAAACAACTTTATCATGGATTGGGGTACTCCATTATAATGTACGAAATCATTTTGGGAGAACCTCTCAAAAAGTATTGAATGGAGACTTTTACAATAAGTATTTTCTGGGACGCCTGGGTGGCTCAGTGGTTGAGCACCTGCCTTGGGCCCAGGGTGTGATCCTGGAGTCCCAGGATCGAGTCCCACCTCAGGCTCCCTGCATGGAGCCTGCTTCTCTCTCTGCCTATATCTCTGACTCTCTCTCTCTCATAAATAAATAAGTAAAATCTTAAAAAAAAAAAAGTATTTTCTTATCAGGTCAGGTATTTTGTTGGTTTCAGGCTCTCACAAAGTCTATTTTCAGACACCTCGTCATGCGTCTTTAAAATTTAACCATTCGGGGCACCTGGGTGGCTCAGTGGTTGAGTGCCTTCCACTCAGGTCCTTATCCCAGAGTCCAGGGATCAAGTCCCGCATCGGGCTCCCCATAGGGAGCCTGCTTCTCCCCCTGCTTATGTCTCTGTGTCTCTGTCTCTCATGAATAACTAAAATCTTTTTTTCTTTAATTAACCACTTATTTCAAGGTCATAGTCCCCAGGTCTCCCTCATCCAATTTTATTGCAAAAGGTGACCACTCGATTTCTGCTTTGTGATCCTCAGAGACCCCACTTCTGTAAACAAAAACAACCATTTGAAAAAAATTCTTCCAGCTGATTTTTTTTTTTTTGAAGCAGGAAAGATGGCATTTGTGCTTTTTTTTTTTTTAATCTGAGGATTTCCTTTCACAAGAACTTGTACGATGGATCTGCAATGGGACTCAGATTCTGGATTTACCTCTTGATAGCTGGTAAGAGGTGAGGAGGGGTGAAAACCATCAAACATTTCAGTTACTTCCTTGAAAAGAGGAATCATTTAAAATTATATTGTATTTTTTAATTTTTACTTTTTTAGAGAGGGAGGAAAGAAGGGCAGAGGAAGAGAGAGAGAAAAATCTCAAGCAGACTCCATGCCCAGTGGGGAGCCAGACATGGGGCTACATCTCACAACCCTGAGGTCGTGACCTCAGCCTAAATCAAGAGTCTGAGGCTTAATAGACTGAGCACCCCTGAGCCAGGCGCCCCAAGATTACCTAAGATTATATTGTATGATTGTATCATTGCAGTGTGTGTGATCTTGGTTAAGTCACATAACCCCTCTGAACACCAGTTTCCATATCTATTAGCTAAGAAACAAGTGAACAATAGAGATTCTCAGCACGAGGAAAACTCAACGCGCAGGACTGTCACGAGGTCAACGCCCAACTTTTATATGGACGCTTGAGGATCCCCGAGGCCTGGAGACACAAGTCCCTCCTGGTTAGCTACCATCCATCCCATCCTTCCGGGGCTCGCCCTTTCCCCAGCCTTCCGAGAAGACCTTTTTCTCTCCAGGGGCTTGAAAATACTTTGTACCAGCCAGTGAGGAAGGGCGCAGCCCGCGGGGGAAGGTGCCGGCCGAGCACCCCCGGCTCCCCATCTCCCGATCCGCCTACCCGCCGCGGAGTCTGGGCGTCCGCCTCGCCGGCCAGCCGGGGTGCGGCCGTGCGTGCGCCGCGGAGGGTGGTGGCGGCTCGCACCCCGCCCTGGGCCGCCGCCGCCGCCCCAGCGTGTCAGGTGCCGTGAGAAGCGCCCAAGGATATGACCAGAGCCGACGACTTTCCAGAAGCCGCGCACGCAAGGCACAGCTCCGCACGCAAGGGGGAGGCGACAGCAGAGGAAACTTCCAACCCCATAAAGTTCAGAGGCGCGAGATCGGCGCGCTGCTCCTCCTCCCCCCCCTCGGCCCTCCCCACGGGAGCATCCGAGCGTGCTCCCTCGGCTGCGAGCCCCCGCCTTAGCCCCAGCGTGGTCCCGGGCTCCGGGCCGCGGGTCCCCGACGCGGGGCGGTGGGCGGCGCCACCTGGGGGCTGCTGAGCGGGAAACCGCGACCGGCTGCGTCCCGCTGGCGCTGGCCTTTGTGTGCCGAGCGCGGCCGGGGCGCGGGGGCCGGGAGCGGCGTCCTTCGGGGACTCTCGGTCTCGCCGCACGAGGTGGAAGGAGAACCTGGCGCGCCGGGGGGCCTCATCCGAGGGGCGTGTTTGCAAGGAAGTTACAGTAAAATAAAACAGCTGGGGATGCTGTAAAGGCAAGCCGCCGCCGAGACCCGGCTGCCCGCGTTCCCCAAACGGACAGGTTCCCTCTCCGGGCCCCGGCGCCCAAGCATCCCGGGCGGGTCCATCTCGGCAACGGAGCTCAGGCACCGAGAGGGGACGGGGGGTGTCAAGCTCCCCGGGAGGGGGGCGCGCTCCCCCCCGACGGGCAGGTTCTGTTCCCAGCGCGCTTCCGGGCAGCAGCGGCTACGATGGGGAGGGACGGACTAGAGTGGTTTTCCGGGAAACGGGAAGTCCGCACTGCCGCTCGCAGCAAAGCCGCCAGCCACCGACCGAGGCCGTCGGGGAGCATCGCGGCCGCCTGGCGTGACCGCGCTAGCGCCGCGACCCGGGTCGGGTCTGAGCCCCTGGAAGCGTCCCGCAAGCCCCGCCCCCGCAAGCCCCGCCCCCCGCCAGGTTCCGCCGCCGCCTCCGCCGCAGACCTTAAAAGCCAGGGAAGCGGGATGGCGCGTTTTGACTCTGGCGTGACTGCGTGCAGGCGGGCCACGCCCCTGCGACAGCAGCTGTCAGCCGCGCGGGGTCCTGAGGCTGGGAGCTGGCTGCACTCGTCGACCCCCCGTCTCAGTGCGCACTCTGTGTGGAAACCCCCGCTTTGCCGAGGCCCCAGGTGTAGCGGGGCTCGCGGCAAAGGAGGCCCCCTCCTCGGTCCCCATCCCAATCCCAGCGCCCCTGGCTCGGAGGCTCCAGAGCGGGTGCTCTGGCTCCCAGGGCAGCAGGTGTCCAGGCGAGGCCTCCGATTTCCTGGGGACTTCTGGCCCTCCTCAAAGGCCCCAGCCCTATTACGGAGCCGTCCATCCCGCGCCGCCGGAAACCGCGCCACCTCGCAGGTCAGTCGGTCCGCGGAGCCGCCTTCCCGCGGCCTTGCGGGGCGGGGGTGGTAGGCAGTGAGAGGGAACTGCGCGCCTCCGCCTGGATGCCCTCCGGCCTGCCCCGAAGTGCTGGAACCGTTACACAGCTGGGGGTTGAGGTGGGGACGGAGAGTCCGGGTCACGGAGAGGCGGAAGCATGCTCTTTCCCTTCTCCTTTAGGGGACGGGTTTGGGATGGGAAGAAGCGTCCTCCGCTGCTTCCCCGGAGAGCCCGCCCCGCCCCGCCCTGCCCTGCCCTGCCCTGCCCTGCCCTGCGCGCGACCTCCTCGCTTGCCCACGGCTCAGCGTAGCCCGACGCCAGGGGTAGGGGCGCGGGGCGCCCGCTCCTTTCCCTGCACACCTGAGGGCCACGCCTTCGCCCCTCTCTCTCCAGCATGGCCACCAGCCTCGGGCCCGACGCCCCCCTGCAGCCGAGCGCGCTGACCGCCCAGCAGACCACGCTCCTGCTGCTGCTGTCGGTGCTGGCCGCGGTGCACGCGGGCCAGTGGCTGCTGAGGCAGCGGCGGCGGCAGCCGGGGTCCGCGCCGCCCGGCCCGTTTGCGTGGCCGCTGATCGGAAACGCCGCGGCGATGGGCCCCGCGCCGCACCTCTCGTTCGCGCGCCTGGCGCGGCGCTACGGCGACGTGTTCCAGATCCGCCTGGGCAGCTGCCCGGTGGTGGTGCTGAACGGCGAGCGCGCCATCCGCCAGGCGCTGGTGCAGCAGGGCGCCGCCTTCGCCGACCGGCCGCGCTTCGCTTCCTTTCGCGTGGTGTCGGGCGGCCGCAGCCTGGCTTTCGGCCGGTACTCGCCGCGCTGGAAGGTGCAGCGGCGCGCGGCGCACAGCACCATGCGAGCCTTCTCCACGCGCCAGCCGCGCAGCCGCCGCGTCCTCGAGGGCCACGTGCTGGCCGAGACGCGCGAGCTGGTGGCGCTGCTGGCGCGCGGCAGCGCGGGCGGCGCCTTCCTGGACCCGCGGCCGCTGACCGTGGTGGCCGTGGCCAACGTCATGAGCGCCGTGTGCTTCGGCTGCCGCTACAGCCACGATGACGCCGAGTTCCGCGAGCTGCTCAGCCACAACGAGGAGTTCGGGCGCACGGTGGGCGCGGGCAGCTTGGTGGACGTGCTGCCCTGGCTGCAGCGCTTCCCCAACCCCGTGCGCACCGCCTTCCGCGAGTTCGAGCAGCTCAACCGCAACTTCAGCAACTTTGTCCTGCACAAGTTCCTGCGGCACCGCGAAAGCCTGCAGCCCGGGGCCGCCCCCCGCGACATGATGGACGCCTTCATCCTCTCGGCGGGAACCGAGGCGGCGGAGGGCTCGGGCGACGGCGGCGCGCGGTTGGACATGGAGTACGTGCCGGCCACTGTCACCGACATCTTCGGCGCCAGCCAGGACACGCTCTCCATCGCGCTGCAGTGGCTGCTCATCCTTTTCACCAGGTAAAGCCTCCCGAAGGCGCGGGCGGGCCTTCCTTTCCTGCCGGGTAAGGGTTGGGGGGGGGGTCGCGGTAGGATATGCTGAGGTCTCCACGCACGCCCAGAGTCTGGGGTTTCGCGCCAGGTCCCCACCTCTCAAAGCTGAGGTCGCGGCGCGATAGCGGGGCTCGGGAAGGAAGGCACAGCGCGGGCCGAGAGCGCGCGCCCCCGCCCCCCGCCCTCCACCCAGCCCCAGCGGGGACCCTCCCGCCCGCATCTTTGATCTTGTGGTTCGCTACCTCTCCAAGTGGGGGACAAAGCTATGAGAACCCCCTGAAAGGCACGACCTTTTAAGTGTCCGCAGATCAGCCCCGGATCTCTGCCTCCCTGGTACAGCAGAAGCAAAATTGGCACCGTTCCGAAAGAAAGGGCAACGGGAAACAGGTTAAGTAAACCCAGCAGCCAATCGGCTGGGCCGGCCCTCGGCGCAGATCGGAGCTGCCAGCCGGCCGCGCGTCCGGGCTTTGTTCCCGGGCGCAGGGAGCGCTCGGAGGCCGGCCCCGCCGACCGTTACCGGCACGGGAGCTTTAGGAGGGCGGCCAGAGACTAGCAGGTTGCGCCGGGCGTAGGGAACCGCCGCGCTAGTTTGTTAGAAATCCCCGGGGAGAGAGCCGGAGCGCAGAGCAGCGAGCGCCTCGACAGGCGCACGGGGAACCCGGGCAGCGCGTGCGGGCGGACTCCTCTGGCGCTCGGCGCCCCGCGGAGGCGGCCTAGCCTAGCCCCCCGCGGCGCCCGCCGGGACTAAGGTCGCAGACCCTGGGAAGCTCTGCGCGCAGGGAGCGAGCGGGTTGCTGGTATAGGGTGTTGCCAGACTCAGAAAATGAAAAATAAAATGTACACAGGGCATATTCTTGCTGAAAGATTAACTATTGTTTACCAGAAATTTAGATTTAGCATAGCAGCCTACTTTTGTCTGGCAACTCTGCTCCAGGAGCAGGTGTCTCGCTGTCTTACTTCACTCACGGCAGATGTTGGTTGCCTTGAAGGACCTGGGGTCCTGCTTGTGCCGTTTCTTGGCGCAGAACGAAGTGGAGGGGGATGCCGAACTTGCTGGCAACCCAGAAATTGGAAGGCAAGGGCTGGTTCTTTTCTTATTAGAATCCTGCAACCTGTAAATATACGTCCTTAGATCCTGTGCGACTACTTTCGTAAGTCGAATTTTTGTGTATTTAAAATTGCTTTCCAGTATTAAGAGCGCAGAAACCCCATATGGGCAATGAGCAGAAATCAAATTAAAACAATTCGATAATAGATCAGGAAAAAGACATCCTTAAATGATATCAATAGGTCCTTTGCATCCCACCATGAGCTTGTCATCTTCTGAAACTTCGTTTTTTTTGTTTGTTTTGTTTTGGTTTTTTTCCCCATCAGAAACTGAACTGGCCAGCAAAAGTAAATAAAACAATTTTGGAGTCACTCTAGTCAATATAGCTGATGAATACATTTTTCTTCTTTTTAGTGAAAACACAGTATGAAGGAAGTTGGCAAATTACACTGCCCATTTTGGTATGCGTTTAAGCAAAATACAACCATGGCCATTCATTTATGTATTGTCTGTGGCCGCCTTCACAGCACAAGGCAGAGCTGAATAGCTGTGACAGAGGGAGGGTTTGGTTGGCAAAACCTAAATTTTTAGTATCTGGCCTTTCATGGAAGAGTTTGCCGACCCCTGAAATATGAGGAAGCATACTTCATGAAGTTCATGAAGAAATTTTTTAAATCACCCATAATTTTATACCATACACGCTTACATTTTTTTCAGAGATGCAATAATTGTTTACTTAAAAAAAAACTTAAGACATTTTCATTTAGTGTAATGGACATTCTCCCATCTTTTAAACTTTATTTTAGTGATTTCTGATGGCCGCCTAGTATTTTTGTTATAATAGCACCATTACGTATAATCGCTTCTTTTAACATTGTTGATTGCATTTTTAAAATTTCGGTGATTGTTGTAGTTACATATTTTTGTACCTGTTGTTTCCTGCGCATACGTTTCTAGGCGTGGATTACTGGGTTTAGAAAGTAGGGGAGAGTTACCCTTCTGCATCTTGCTTTGTACTCAGATTTTGTTTTCCAAAAGGACAATACTATTTGTATTGCCAACAGTAAAGAAGCATTACAGTTTGTACCATAATCTTTCTAACATTGGGAATTTCCTTTTAAATTTAAATTTTGAGGATTTGTAACTTTATCTATCAGGATAACCATTGTGTGCGAGAGCAGTGTGTATGCTAGAATTTATCCCAGGAGATGAGAGAAGAAAAGGGTCTGCTTTTGGGGCTGCGTTTTTGTTTTTCATGGGCCTTGGATGCTTTTGCCTCTTTAGACTCTTTGCCCCTCAGAAAATCTTAATGACATTTTATTACTACATTGGAATAAAGATAAATATGTCAAATTACATATTAAAACATTTTCTTTAACAGTTTTTTTTTTTTTTTTGGTGTATGTTCTGATTTTGAAGGAAACAAAAACATTTTCACAAGCCCCTGAAAAATTTTGCAGGTCCTTGGCATGTCTGCTGTGCCTCATGGAGAAGCTGGCCTTGTCTGTTAGGAGCTTTTTCAGGCTAGAAAACTTCAGACTGTTTTTGACTTACGATAGGAAAGAGAGCATTACCCATATGAAACTAATTACGGGAAATATAACTATTGATTTATCCATCCTGTGATTTAGTGAGAAATGAGGAAACTGTTTTGGATTTTTTTTCTTTTTGGCGGGCTGTAAGTACTAACTCATTAATGAAATAATTCATTAATTCAGTATTCATTCAGATAAAGAAAGTGGAATTAAAGTGCCATGTGCTTTCTAGATGAAAGAAGAATCGATTTCCCTTACTTATTTTCTCCTGTATTAACGACCAAACAGGTATCCACAAGTGCAGGCTCGGGTCCAGGAAGAATTGGATCAAGTCGTGGGTAGAAACCGGCTGCCCTGCCTGGATGACCAGCCCAACCTGCCCTACACCATGGCCTTTCTTTACGAAGGCATGCGTTTCTCCAGCTTTGTGCCCGTCACCATTCCCCATGCCACCACCACCAGTGCCTGTGTCTTGGGCTACCACATTCCCAAGGACACAGTGGTTTTTGTTAACCAGTGGTCCGTGAATCATGACCCAGTGAAGTGGCCTAACCCAGAGGACTTTGATCCAGCCCGGTTCTTGGACAAAGACGGCTTCATTGACAAGGACCTGGCCAGCAGCGTGATGATTTTTTCAGTGGGCAAACGGCGATGCATTGGGGAAGAGCTTTCCAAGATGCAGCTGTTTCTCTTCATTTCCATCCTGGCTCACCAGTGCAATTTCAAGGCCAATCCAGACGAACCCTCAAAAATGGATTTTAATTACGGTCTGACCATTAAACCCAAGTCATTTAGTATCAACGTCACTCTCAGAGAGTCCATGGAGCTCCTTGATACTGCCGTCCAAAAGTTACAAGCTGAGGAAGACTGCCAGTGAGAAACCAGAAGCATGCTAAAATTTTACAAGTACTCAAGTTTTGGGGGGATAGGGAGTAGAATTTTCTAGCTCCTCTGGGCCACTCTCTCAATTAGCCTCTAAAGTGAGCATGAACCAACTGATCCTCAGGTGATGTGCTTTATGCGTGTGTGCTCAGATAAGCACTAGGCTCCGAAGGAGCTCCTGGAAGAATCAAAGAATGAAAGGATCCAAAGAGTTTTTACACAATATCGAGTTCTGATAATAATGTCTTGAGGGAGCATGTACACACACAAATGACCTAATGAAGAAGAGTTTTGGTAACCATGCCTTCCTGTACGGGATCCAAGCTTGATGTTCTGCGTGCTGAAATCTGCTCCAAAGCAAATTGTAGTTAGCCAAGTTTCAGAATATATTGCTGAATATGCAAAGACAAATAATTTCCATGTAAGACATGTGATTGAGGGTAATAAGGGAAAAGGGTAAAGACCAGGAATTCCCCCTTTCTCACCTCTTCAATAAAAAATAGCTTAGTTAGGCTGAGTTATCTATGGATGGATTTATCTTTTTGCCTACTGTTACGCTTTCTTTCTTGGGGGGTAAGTCCTAAAGTCATTTACTCACAAAGAAATTAATGGTGGTTGGGTCACTGATTATAGTAGCTGTTCCAGTGATGTATTCTGAATTTTAAAAGTATAAGTTGTTAAATTGTAAAAAAATTCCAAGCCAAAGTCATATCTCTGTTGTTGCCAAAGTACAGTTTCAATGATGAGCAAAAAAAAAAAAGGAAAAAAAAAAGAAAAAGAAAAAAAAAGATTTAGCAGCCTACCTAAGCTTTATCTTATATGATTATAATGCACTGATTTCAGTCTTATAGATTAAAAAAGTCACCAAATACTATTCAATGTATTTACATATATAATTATCCATAAGCAGTATGTATTAGTTATTGTATTATTAGGTAGTATTAGTTATTTTGGTTAAGAAAAATTTGAATAAGATATTCTTTCCAAAAGAAAGACCAATCAAAAAGTAGAATTCAACCAGTTTGGGCTCAAATATGTGAAATGAGCCTATTTTGACATCATGGAAACCAAGATGAAGCAAAATCCATTCTCTCATCTGTAACTTGAATGAGAACTGAAAAATCTCAAAATTGGATCTGTAAGATGTATTCCTTATTACTTTACAACATATTTTCTAAAATGATATTCATAATCTAGATTCTTTTTATGAAATCAATGTAGTTACTATAATTCCAACCTCTTGGCATGCTTACATTTTAATTTTAAAACCATTCTGCTTGTTGAGTTCCAGTTGAAGTTACTGGAAATCTGACCAGTAGCCTATGCAAGGCAGAGAAATTTAACCTGTGTCTGCTTGATGAATAGTGAAAAATGCAATGAATTATCTGGATGCTCTCTTTATTAGAGAACCAGGGGGAGGTGGATTCCCATCATAAAAGGCCTAGTTTCTCTTTTAAGTTTTTTAAAAATAGCATTCATGTCTGTGTTTTGGAAAGTCAGAATCAGAAGGTCCTGTTGGGAGACTGTTTTGAAGATTGCACCACATTCCAGTGGAGCTGATCAGATCTGGTGTGCTGCTCAGGATGGCCGGCCCGGGAGCAGTCACTTTGCTAACTGTGAAAACATAAAGCCTGAAGGAAATACGTATGTTCCATTTATGTAAAGAGCCTGAAAACCTTAAAAACAAAAAACAAAAACAACACCACATACTGGAAGATTGCAAAAGTTCAAAGTGAAGGTTGGAGCTTTAACTTTCATTGCATGTGAACTTGCAGAGGAAGGTATACTGTATCCTGAAAGCTTACTGCTTCTTACATTCTATTAAGCTTTTGGAATCTTTTAATTAACATTATAAAGAGAGGAATGTCTGACATATGTGTGTTGGGGTGGTGAGAAAAAACAAAAAAAGAAAAGGAAGAAATATGGTTAAGCCTTTCTCCACTCATTCCAAATTAATTCATCTGAAGCACAAAATTTGAAGTATGAACACTTAGAAGAAAGATGATTTGTAGGCCGATGTTAAATCCCAAGTAGACTTTAAAAAAAAAAGATCTATTTTGTAATTTGAAATTCTTTTATTAATAAAAATTTCATATAATTTTAATCAATAAAATCTCATAGCTCTGCCTCTTAAGTATGGAGAACTGTGCCAGTATTTTTAAAGGCACTAAATCCACCTGTAGAAATCAGGCTTACCCAATACCTTAAAATTTTTTTGTCACCAGCCATTCTAAAACATGACTACCCCCCATCCCTAAGCAGGGCTGAAATAGTGATTGTTGGCTGCCCTAGCCCACTTACTCTGAGACATATGTGGTACCAAGAGTAATCATGTACCAATCTGGATGCCTCATTAAGTCAACCAAGTCCAGATGTGCTCTAATCTGTGCGAATGTGGGCTCAGTTTGCTTGGCACTTCTAGCAATGGAAAAGCTGTACTTTATAGGAGGAAGTAAGGTGGGCTCTTGGAGGTCACCTAGCTTATTTAATACAACTATTTTATGTTTTATAATCTAGTTAAAGGAAGGATAGCAAAACCAAAAACAAATTAAAACAACCAAACTTGGAGGCCACAATAATCAGGCTACTGGTTTAATCAGAAAACCTTATTTCTTCCCGAGAAAGAAGGTATTTGCTGGTCACTATTGTAGTCAGAATATCTACTCCAGATTATTGTTAACAGTTCAAGTATATCGTTTATTAAATACTTCCTTTATGTATTGAAGCTTTGACTTTGCAAGAAGATTGCTTTTTTTCCAAACAAAAAGATGTCTCAGGTTTGTTTTGTGGGTTATCTGAAAGCTTTTTTTTTTTTCTTTTTTTCCTCTGAAAGCTTTCATGTCTCAGAACTTAGCCTTCACCTGTGAAATGCTATTACGGCCTTAATATGTCCTTATTAGATCTATATTAGATCAAATAGTTGCATAGCATTTATATTAATTTTATATTTTTTAGCTATGACACACTGTGTGATACTCTGGTAGATGCTTATAGCTCAATGATAATTTTTTATTTAATCTTTTCTTATTTTTGTATTTTATCATGTGTGCTTTTAATATGTACAGAACAACTATAATACATAGTTGTAACTGAAATACATTTCAGAGGCACAGCGTTAACATGTACCTTTTACTGTTTGATATACCAGATTAAAAACATTTTGTATCTGTAATTACCTGTAACCGGACACCTTTACCAAGATAATAAAAATCACTCTTATAATCTTGTTATGGAATTTTACTTTATGTTGTAGCAAGTATGCTATATCTTTTTCAACATGCATCCATTCATTAATGTATCTATTCTTTTCAACTACCACTTAAAAGTGCTTAAATTAAAATGTTGCATTATAAACATTTTATTTGGCCATTTGACATTTTAGGTTGCTTGCTCTTTTTAAAAAATAGGCTTTCAAAAAAAAATAAAAAAAAATAAAAAATAGGCTTTCAGCATTCAGTTTCCTACCAAATTCCTAGTCTCTATATTTTTGAGTTTATGAGAACCAACACAGAAGTTAAATTTCAGTGGCAAACATCTAGAAAAGTGGGAGTTAATTTTTAATTTTGAAAAATAGACCAGATTGAGATTTTAAAGACTCTGATCTTTTACTACTGCTTCATCCAAAAAAATGCAGAACACATATTTGTCCCTCAGCAGCACATCAGTCCTTTCTGTTAGTATTTCATTCATTTATTTTAAAACTTCTGTTTATGTATGTGTGTGTGTGTGTGTGTGTGTGTGTGTGTGTGGTGGTTTTGTTGTTTTTCTTTTTTTTGAAAGCTTTTGTTTTCAGTTTGGTTGCTATACATTCATTCATTCATATTTAAGGTACGTGTGCTTTAATTAATAAATGCAACTCATGTCCAATAAAAGAAAAGAGGAGAGCATTCTGTCCTGTAGTATGTGGAAATATTTTCTGCTGACCTTTTTACCGGGTAAAAGATGTGACTTCACAGAGCCTCTGCTGTGATTCTCCAGGCTCTCACTGCCCCACCTGCACAGATGGCAGGGTGTACGGTGCCAAGGGTTCTTATTGCTTCCAGACCTAAGCTCCCATTACTGTGAAAACAGGAAAAGAAATCATGAAGTACAATCGCACACGGTGTCATTGATACTTCGGCTTGACAACATTACTTCAGCAACTAAAAGGTATGGCTATAAATTGGCTTAAGAGAATACTCACTTGTTTTCCAAATCTGCTAACAGAAGATCTTCATAATGGCCGTACAATTTTAGGATGAGTGAAATAAATTTTCCATAGGAGAAATTTTAACAAAATTATGATTAGGGTCAGGCATTTGCAAAAAACGTCAAGCAGAGTTGAATTCTACACAATCAATCCACTAAAATGGAAGGCGGGAGTGCAGGGCAGAAAATGACTGTAGCTTTAGAAAGAAGACAGCCGTGATTGCTGCAAACGCATAGGGGTTATTTCTGTAACCTCAAAGCCAGTCCATTTTTCTGCAGCAGTTCGGCTATTAACACCCCCTTATTTTGCCTCAGTGACTCACATGCTCTCTGCTTTCCAGTTCTGACCTTCTAGCTCTAATTCTTAGAGAAGGGAAGAAAGAGAAAAGAATACATTCAGAAGCAATTATTTTTAATGGGAAAGACTGGAGAAAATCCAGTTTAAATAGCTATGGGCAAGCTATAGGCAAACAACAGCTTATGCCTGTAGCTCCTAATCCACTTACAATACAAGCTGTGTGGTCTCCACTGACACTTCCCAACATGTGTCAGGTATGGGGGGAAGAAATGCAACTAGAATATGTTGAGCACTTCTTAGGTTTGAATCACCACGCTAAGCAGAATCGCACCACAGTTCTGTGCAGGAGGCAGTAATGTAATATATAACATGTCACAGTTAGACGTGGCAGTGTCTGGACGCTCCCAGAGATGAACTGACTCCAAAGCCCATTGTCCTCGTGCTGTTGTGTCACCTTCCGACCTGGCTGTGTTTGGGTGGATAGTCTGGTCTATTTTCAATCCCCATGATCCTTGGGTTTCACAGCAATGCATTTCCTTTGTCTAGGGCACATTCCACACTATAATCAGGGTGTAACTGACATTGTGAAGTGCCAGAAAGGCTCACAACATTCCTCTTTCCTGAGGAAAGCGTCCTCAAACTGCTCCTTACTAAAAAGAAAGAAAAGGAAGGAGGGACAGAGGAAGAAAGCAAAGGAAGAAAAAAGAGAGAAGGAGAGAAAGAAAGAAAGAAAGAAAGAAAGAAAGAAAGAAAGAAAGAAAGAAAGAGAAAGAGAAAGAAAAAGATCATACTTTGTTTTGTAATCTTAAAACCCCTATCCTATAAACCTCTTTTTGGGCCAGGGATCCTTGCCTGAGCCAAAGGCCATCCATAGGAAGGAACAGTTGCCTGTGAAGTGGCCTGATTCAAGAATTCTCTCTGATAGGGGTGCACCACACTGGATGTTAGCTCATGTGACCAATCAGAACATTTCGGGCTCTCAGCGAACTTGTGTAGGGTAAACAGAACCACCAGAGAAAGTACAAAACCGAGGAATGAATCAGACAGGTGTGTTGACGGGAAGCCTGCCTTTGAAAACAGTTTCCTGGAGCTACTGGAACTGGTATGGGACTACTTGAGATCCCTTTGAGCGATAGGCTAAATAAACTAACTAGCTAAATAAGTATTATACTAAATAAACAACACAATATTGCACAAATTGCACAATATAACAGCACAAACCCAACAGCCACGGAGATGCCCTTAGATCAGAGCTAAGAGTCACTCCACCAGCCTGAAAAATCTTCTAGGCTCTTTAAAAATTTTTTAATTCTGTTTTTTCTTCCTACCTGCCTATTTTTGTTTCTCTCCCTCTTTTGGTGCTAAATGGGTACTTTTTGTTTGTATGTGTTCCAGCAAATTTCGTATTATTGTTTTGTATACATGTGGTTTTAATTTATGCAAGTACTCAATCTCATCCTGTTGCTTCGTCTTCTACTAGTACGATACTTTCAATATTGTCTAATCCCATGGCTTCTCCCCACTGCCTAGTGCTTCCAGGCATTCATCCACCACATTTTCTCTATCCAAGTCTCAGAAATGGGCAACCAAGAGGCCTCTGACTTCGTGTATCCCCAAATAATGCTGCAAGGAACACTTTTGTACATGTTCCCCTGTGGACCTGTGAGAAGTCTGTAATATATACACCATAACCACGATCAGCACTGTCAGGCCAGCAAGTCTGGGTCTGTGTGATTTAGGGACTGTAAGCATGTTCTCCAGGATGCCACCCAGCCACACTCCTGTCAGCCGTGTGACGGTACCTCTACTATATGTATGCCCCTATCAACATGTGAATGACCTTATTTTTTTTACATGAATTATACCATTTAGGAAGGTATCATGCATTAAATTGATTTTTTTTTCAAAGAGACATCTACCCTCATATGTCAATACATCTTGTAGATATATTTGTAGTTCTATCACCTCTCCACTCATCCATGGTACGTTTATTAAAAGCCACCGGGTGCCAAAAATTTGCTATTGATGATAGTTTGCATGTAAAATTATGAATGAACGGAGGAATGAGTTCTATTAAACCTGCTTCTCAACACTAATGACACCATCTTTGCCCTGCCTCCATTCTCAATCCGTGCCCTTAAGTCTGACCAGGTTCTCTTCCCTGCTGTAGGGATGAGGTTGGTTAAGGTTCTTCTGAAGGTTCTTCTCGAGGTTCTCTCTGACTCACTCTAAGCAAGTAGAAATGCCAACCCTGGGTCTTCCTCCTGTGGTATGAACAGTGGCGTTCAAACATGTTTTACCGTAATCCACAGCATGAGCTATATTTTGTATTATGACTTAGTACGTACCTATTGTGTGTGACTATGTACTCACATACTTACATCAGAATAGTCTTTACCATTGTTTTCTGTGATCTGATCTGTTTTCAGATCTACTTTATTATTTTTTCATTAAAAATATGCTGTAATGAGATACCACCACAAACCTTTGATTGAGGCCAAATGATCATGACAAAATGCTAGAGACAATGTGAAGCTACAAGAGCTTTCAAACATTACTGGTGGGGAGTACAAGCTGGTACAGTGTGATCCAGCAATCCTACTCCTAGATTTTATCCTAGAGAAATGAAAATTCATTCACATAAAGGCTTTACATTAATATTTATAGCAGCTTTATTCATAACACCCCAAACCGGAAACAACCTAAGTGTGCTTCCACAGGGGACTGGCTCAACCAACCTTGGTATATCCATACAAAGGAGTGACACTCAGCAATAAAAAGCAATGAACTCAACTGATTTACACAATAGCTTGGATGAATTTGGAGGGAATACCACTGAATAAAAGAAGCCATCCTCAAATGGTTATATACTCTGTGAATCCAGTTTTGTAACAGTCTCAGAAAGACAAAAGTAAAGTGATAGAGATGGATCACAGGTTGCCAAGGGTTAGGGGCAGAGGGAAGCTGTGACTACAGAATATGGTGGAGTTTGGGGGTATTTGCTGATTGTGGCAATATAGTTACACAGAGCTATACGTGTGTTAAAATTTCTAAAACTATACTTTAAAATAGACAAGAATATTTTTGAGGGAGAGTTGGTGCAAGTGATCTTCAGTGAAGTGTGGGTTGGCAGATAGTAAAGCGGGTTCTGGCAGACAGAGTAGCACCAACAAAGAAGGTCAAGTCCAGGTGTGCAAACCAGGGTCATGGCCTGTGTTAAGTCCTTGTTGACTGAGGGGAAAGGGTGATGGCAGGCTCTCAGAGCAGAATCGGAAAGAAGGACGCTAGTGTTTGTGATGAACAACAGCAGCTAAAAGCCATGAGTTGGAAGGTGCCACTGGGTACAATTTAAATTCAATACTGTAAGTGTTAATGGAGCACCTACTGTATGGCAGGCACCGTTCTGGGCACTGCAGATATAACAGCGAGGAAGATACTTGGCTCTGAGTCCTTGAAGCTGATCTTCTGGTGGAGGGGGCATGGAGAGAAAAGAAAGAAAGAAGATTTAAGTTAGGAGTAAGTGCCCTGGTGCGGTAAAGACAATGAAACAGAGTGGGGTGTGTGTGTGTGTGTGTGTGTGTGTGTGTGTGTGTGTGTGTGTGTGTGTTGGGGGACTCGAAAATAAGTAGTCAGGGAAGCCCTTCCAAAGGAGGTGGCAAGAAGAAGTAGAATTAAAGACAAGTATCCTCTTCCTCCCACCCTATGTGAAGGAAGTAACCGGCACTGTGCTTTCAGA